ATCATTGTATCAAAGCCCTTCTTATTATGTCCCCTGTAGTCGTCATCAAAAGTGGAGTCTGTCATCCGAGGCTTTTGTTTCCTTTTCATTGGAAGTGGTTTCTACGTGAGGGGTCYTAAAGTCAAAACACAACCTCGCTAGGTAAGCAGTATAAATCTTTATACACATATAGCGAGCCGCTTGTTTGAAGACCAACCATCTTATCAACCTGTGAGTCTAGTAGAGCTAATAAGAAGAAGCGCTGCGTTATATCGAAGCTTCAACTGGGTAGACGAAGCTGGACGATAAAGTTGACAATGAAATTAAGATGAACGCAATATTCTAACAGTTCTTAAGGKTTTGCTGTATGAACACTATTCAGGCAAACAAAAAAGACTCACGAAGCAAACGGAAAAAACGAGCTCAGGTAGCGATGTTAGAACCGATTCATCTACCCACGTTTCGTGTAAACCCGCTAAAACTTATTAGCTAGCAACAGAAACTAAATTAATCCAATAGCTGGCAAGTACTTAACTTATATTAAAGTCGAAAATGAACGAAGAAGGACATGTGTGAGTCCTTCAACACCATACACAAGCATAGTTACATAACTCTTACCATTTCTTTATCTATAACCATTACGAAGGATATTCAATACACCTGACAGCGCCGAGAACAGCAGTGTCAAGTCATTTTGTCACAAAGGCGATAAAAGWATGTCGTCCAACCGGTAGAAGGACAATAACAGAAACGAAAGGACTACCAATAAAACAAACTAGCGCCAGGTTGGCAGCAATATTACATAAACACGAATACCTTWATGTTATTTGTTATCTAATAAAATAGTCAATGTGTAGTCAAACAAGCAAAAAACAAAAAAAAGATGAGACAATAACGAGCCTACACAATCGAACACGAAATGGAGTAGAGTTAATGGGCAAAAAGCAAGCAGCAGTTGACAAGCAAGAGGCACAGCCAAAAACAAAAACGGAGCCTAACATTGTAGCAATAAAAGCAAAAACAAGCAAATGTCAAACGGTGAAATCAACAAATGCGCCGAAGCAACTAAATYGTCCGCCTGCCATTAGGCAAGGCACATTAAATGAGTGCGCAAAGCGACAAAAAGGACTAACAGTACATGACAGCTAAACAAAAACACACAAGCGTCGTTCGCCGGCCAAATGSCAGCAAGTCGCAGCCAAAATGAGTAAAATAGCCAAATCGAAGCGTTTGTGSAGCCATTTGCTTTGGCCATATGCTGTGTGGCACAAATTACGCAAAAACGACATTTTTATCAATTAGTCTAATCTGGCGCATATGTGTGAGTGTGCTCTATATACATAGATGTGTGTGTGTGTGTGTGTATCCTCTTAGGTAGGCAAATGGCAGTCAAGCCGGCWAGTAGTCGCATAAAACTGTTTGCCAGCAGCAAAAACACACCTTGGCAGCATTATAGTAGCCAGCGTGCATGTCGCTAACGAAGACGGACGGACTGACATGTAGAGTGGACGCAAAGTGCTTTCACAGCGCATATACTTACAAGTATGTTTTTCTATTAAAAGGGTAATTCAAAAACGATGTTTTTTAGCCTCCGATTCAGTTTCTGTTTCTGACTTTCGGTGGCAAAGACATTCCTGATTTGGCAGTTATTTACCTTYCTTCTACTTACCTTCAAGTTCGTAGAGTTCTGAATCTATTTTTAGAGTTGTTACTTTTGCTATAAGGAAACATTTTCTCTAATGACCACGAAACGTTGTCACTGCTGTCACGGAAATATCAAAGGTAACCTATGCACCGGTTATTAAAGCATTGCCAGAAATATTATTACATTGTACAGACACATGCAATATGAATTGTTGTTTGGCTTATAAGGTACATATTGTAAATATAGACAGTATATTGAACATAGAGGATATTCGCTAAACGCTGAAGTAGATTGCCAAAATATGGGATATTCGATTTGGTGACGGGACTTAAGGCCAAAGTTTTTTTTTCGAAATATTTCATTGAAGTAGTTCATTTCTAGTGGACATTTTCACCGCCACYTACTTCCGTTGATATCAACTAGACGTTCTATATTTCATTTAACTCTTGAAAAGTCGGTCTCTGAAAACCTATTTTCGACCACAAAAATCTATATAGAGCTGCTGCATTTAGCCACCCTGTAAAATGTTTTGCCTGCAAGCACATGTATGCAACACATACATAAGCATTTCTATTGCCTTGCTTGCAAACATTTGTTGGCAACGTGACAGGTTAAATGCGGCGCTCTCAAAAACGGTAGGAGGTTGTTAAGTAGGCGCGCGCTACAGCATAAGCATAAGCATACTACTACAAACAATCCGCCGAGCAAATGCGCTCGCTGTCAGACAAATGGTCGAACGGCTGGTCAGTCTGCGCAGACTATAGACCTACACATATTACAGCTGGCTCTGTTCACATCGGCTCTTCGCTGGACACTACTCCACACAAGTGCGTCGGTGACATTTGTTTTTACGTCATACGACAGAAATGTGAATGACAAGGAAACTCTTGCTGCTGCCATTTCTTCTTGTAAGATACGTGTGCGTGTGCGCAGGTAGCAATAATGAAATTCATGAAACACTCTCCGCTGGCAAAAGTACAAATGTACTTTGTTAATTTTTTCGCAAGTAAATCTTTCTTACGGTCGTCTTTTTTGGCTCATTCGGTGGCTCGCATAACGTAGACAACTGTCCATACTGTTCCATACGCTCTATATACATACAAGCAATTTCAGCTGAATTAGTCCTCTCCTCGTAGTTCAGATGAAATTAAATTAAATTTAGCATTGTTGCTGTCACAAAAATGCCATTTTACAGCTGCTGCGCCGAGTTTTCTGTATTTTTTAAATGCGCTCGAGCAGGAAATTCTTGAAACAACATTTTATATACGCTTAAAGTGGGCTTAGGGCACAAATCTTATTGTCCTTTTTGTGGGTGTATTTTTGCTGGAATTAGAAGCACATTGAAGAAAATCACATTTTGTGGAGAAAAGTTGGCATTGCTTATGTAAGAAGWATAATTTTGAAGTAGTTTTACAAGTAAATGTAGGAAAATGAGACACAAGAGGAGCTTTTCGTGATTTATTTTTATACT